TCGAAAAATAAGTACCAAAAATCCCTTTTTTTTTTCACATTTTCATTAGGAATATTATCCCCCCCCCCCCCTCCCCCCCCCCCCCCCCCCCCCCCCCCGGGTTAACTGATCGAGTTTTTTTTGGATATATTAACTTTTAATAGTCGCCAAACATTTTCTATAGGATTTTGATCCGGTGACATTGCTGGCCACGGAAGTACATTGAAGTCATTTTCTGCCTTCCATTTTTCGCAATCTTTGAACGGTGTGCTTAGGATCATTGTCTTCTTGCGAGATCCACTCTAAGTTACCTTCGCCAAAACTTTCTCAGCAGAAATTAAAAGACCCTTCTCGTAAACATTGAGATTCCGTTGAAAACGAAACCCGAGACGAAAAACAACCCTTTCGGTGGATGCTTAACGTACGAAATACTTTTCGTCTTCTAATAAATTTCCAAACTTTCCGATTTGATTGGTATAGTTGAAAAGTGCTTTCATTTGTAAAAATCACCTGATTCTAATTAAAATTTCGATTTTTTTTTCGCCCAACGTAGTCGTTTAATTCGATAATTTTCATTAAGTAACGGTTTAGAAATTTCATTCATAAATTTTCCTCCAGCTTCAACAAAACGCCGTCTAATGGTTCTCGCACTAATGCTAACGCCTAGAGGTTGGAACCGGTTATATTTTTACAAACCGATTTTAATAACAGCTTGAAAATTGCAACCGGTTATAATAAAACCGATTAATCGGTTTGAAAAATTTTCAAACCGGTTATAAATTAAAATCGATTAAACCCCGGTTATAAATCCGATTCTGATAACCGGTTCTAACCTCTACTAACGCCTTGTTTTCGGTCCATTTTAACAATTTTTATCTTGATTTGCATTAGTGCTGCGCCGCTTGCCGGATTTTTGATCATTCAAGACTTTAGTTTCTTTCCATCGGTTGGTCCAACAAATTACTGTGGGTTTAGTGTAACCAATGTAGTTTGCCGTGGCTTCAAGTCCCAGCTTTGGCCATTTTAGAACGAGAGAATATTTAAAGCATAGATGATCAGCATTTGTATTACTCTCTTAGTTATTGGCATAATTGATATGGTATGTACATGTTTCGAATTTTTAAGGGGGTAGGTTACTTATGTCCACCACTGTAATTGATAATTTTTTGCGTTAGCGTTAGTGAAACAAGTACAATCATGAAACTACGATGCAAATTGCGCCACAGTTCATTCAAATTTCCGAAAGAAAACAAAGACATAGTTTTATTTAATAGCTTACAATTGACAGCCGTCTCTTACCGAAGAATCAGATGATTTTATCGTTTTCAGTAGTTATACAAATGTTAAAAGACACAATCTCATTAAGATAGTGAGAAATACTACCATTTATGTATGTAACTTGACTGACAAACCTGCTATTCATCTGAGTTATTCAGCCAGATGGGAGTGTCACATTGCAATATAAAGAGCAAAATGTCTGTCCAATGGACTTTTTGTTCTTTTATTTTTTGTCCCCAAACTATATTTATTCTCTTTCTACGATTTCGGCGATAAAAATTATCGGTTAGTGAGTCGGTTAAAAAGACTGCGGTTATTTTATCTTATGCTAGGTGAAGTAGTGAGGTAAGAAAAGACGAATTAATATAATCAGTCAATTTTCGCTAAAATCTTTTTGGCACTTTTGTAGTTGGTGAATTCCAACAGAAAATGAGATATTTACAATTGGTCTCGATGAGAAGGGAGATTTTTTGCACTCTTACTTGAAAACTGAAAACACAATTCATTTGACGAAATATATGTAATTTCTTCCCGAATCGTTTAAATTTCTACAATTAAAATAAAATTTTATGATATGACACACAGTTAAGAAGTCAACTGAAGGAATTATGTACATATTGTATACGACCGATGCTAAAACAACTTGGTTCATCTTTCTCTTACTCGATGGCGGTTATGACGCTACAATCGTTACAAAGAATTCCAAAAATTTAACATCAAGCTATAATAACAACAACGACGTTCCTTCGTGTAAAATTTTACACGGAAACAATTCATCTTCCCTGGATTAACCAAAACGTGAAGTTCATTAAAATGTCTACCTTAAGTTCTGGTAAAGTTGCTTCAGTATCTCGAGTTCCTAATTTACCAAATTTCAAAACTTTTAAATTTTACAATTTTTTGGTGGTGGATTTACACAAGTTAGAGTTGGAAGAACACTAAACGAATTGTAGGTATGTATACACCTTCTGACAATCTTTATGGCAAACTTACGTTTGGCAGCTCGAGAATACATCGAAGCTCTATTCCAAGAAAGAATGGTATTGGCTGCATCTTTTGATACAAATAATCATGTGTTTCTATGAAAAAGTTTTTAAATTATGACAAGTTTAAATCTTAGATTTTATTTTTAATAGACTTTTTTCAATTGAAAGAAAAACTTTAGACGAGCAGTACATCAAACTAAATATTCAATCTACTTATTCATCAATCGATGAAAAGATTACTCGGGGAACAACCTTCATCTCGATCACTTACAATACCAAAGTAATTTTTGGCAATGAATTTGACAATGATAATTTTGTGCAACTTGAGTATGTATCAAATTTTCTTTAAGCATTGAAGGACCTGTTTGGCGTTTTACGAATTAAACATGTAACGGTAACGGTAAACAGAGATTAATTTATCTTTCCTGAAAAGGATTTCAGCGTTAGCGTTAGTACTTTGACATCGAAACTTTCAAGTTAACATAACAATGTAAAAAAAACCTGTACAGGCCCCCATATACGTAATCAAATACTTTTAAATGAATTTATAGTGCCAGTTCCAAGAAAGGCATAACGATAAATGTATTACGACCGTTATTCTACGTCCATGCATATACATGTGTAATTACGTATATTCTTGGAATTGGCCTATATATAAAGTTCATTAAGTGTTTAATTAGGATATTACAAAGAAAATTTATCAATTGGGTTAACAATGTTTCTATTTTCATAATAACTGATTGCTCTATAACGATAATCTATGCTATATTGATAGAAATAACGATAGAAATATATGTATCGGTAAGATCGTTGCATAGATTTAGTCATCTCTATGAACCTACTGATATAAAAATAAAGGAAAAATTTTACTGTTACAGTTCTGTTTGCAGCATAACGATAAACAAACTATTTAGCTTGGCGCAGATAATATTCACATCAATCATTTTCGCTTTATAAAGGTCAATGTAACATATGCTAGCGTTGCAGAGAATTCAAATAAATTGTTGGCTCGTAGTTTTTATCTTTCAAATATTCCTAAATTCATAATGCGACCTATTTTCTTAATATCCCTGATAATTTTATTAGTGTTTTGCTTCTTTCCAATTAAAAATAATGCGATTAATTTTACTCATGTTGAAGATGAGATTGATGACTTTATAGTGTTTAATAGCTACACGAATTTAGCAGGGACAATTTTAATAAGAATGGTTCGCAATAACAGTATAATGCAATGTGAGTTGCCGAATGAGCCGCGAATACATTTACGTATCGTGCTTCCAACAGGGGAACTTGAGAAAGTCGACATATCACTAAATATATCACGATACAATTTTTGTCCGAACGATACTTTATGGTTTTATCTTATGGAACCAAAAAAAATTCTTTTCGCGTATTTCGATTTCGGAGATGAAGCACCCTCAATTAAGAAAACTTACAATGAAACTGGCGTTATTTTATCTTATAAAGGGGAAATTTTAAGGTGGCATTAGATTTGTATTAATACCTTTTCGTTTAATCGATTTCATCATCTAATAGCTTATCGATTAATTGATTTCATCAATTTAGTAAATTTCATATAGGAGAAGGGCATCCTAGAAATGAAACACTCACAATGAGCATACGAGAAGGCGGCGGTTTCTTACGAACTTACATCTGGCCAAATTATACTATAACTTGGACGAAATTTTCTTTGTAAGTAAAAAGCTCCAACAATATCACGCTAAATTTCCAGATTATATTTAAGCTTGATAAAATTTTCAACCTTAGAGATGATCAAAATCAAATTCAAAAAATAGCGAAAGGAGTGTTTTATACGCCACAACCTCAAGATATTTTTGTTGGGTATTTTACTTTTGTAAAACTTGACGGGGGATATGGATGTGCAATCACCACTAATAATTCAGTCTCAATACCATCAACGAATGTGCACATTAACGACACAGCTATTACAAATTCCACATTAAACACAACAACAAACACAACAGCAAACTACTATGATTCAGACGAAACTTCGTGGCGGATTTTTGTCATATTTTTAGCTCTTGATTCAGATCGAGAAACTGACTTATTTATTCTTTATCAAACTTCGAAGCCTTGGCCTAAACTGAATGTTGGTCCATGTCGTGTTGCATATGACGGCACAGGATATGGATGTTTCCTCATTCCTTATGTCAACGACACAGTACCCTATATTTACAGTGTTCGCTTTATTTCTGAAGGTTCTGTCACTTTGATAAACAAGCTTCGATTTCGTGATGCAAAAGATTGGAAATTGCTAAATTTTTATAATGTGTTTGCTGGTGGTTATATTGTGATTGGTACTCTATCGCAAACTAAACGAGTTGGTGATTTATATAACACTTCCGGATTAGTCTATGATACAATAGAAATCGCAACAAAGCGTGTACATATGAGTACATATCCAAGAAACAATTCACTTTGGATAGGCTCATTTGATCCAAACAAGACAAAAGAATGGACTGTGACTTCTATTAATATACCAAAATTAATACAATATGGCAAGTTTTGTATATTACACTTTGTTAATTTTAATTATTTTCATGATCATATTAACAATTAATACATGTAATTCCAATTATTGTAATTTCGTAGATGAAAGATTTCCAAATCCAAATATCAACAAAACCATTCCGGAACCAGATTCAACCATAAATTTACGAACCAAAGATTTAACGATAATGTATAACATAAGAGTCAGCTTTGGCGCAGGAAATTTTTCAATTTACCAATATCCAAATCTTTTGCGACAAATGACGCCGGGAACTTCAGCTAATATTAAACCTGACCCGGTTACCGGTTTTACAAAAGTCACAATCAATGTTTTTAATAGTACTTTTAATCTGCCGAACACAATGTATTACGTCGTGGTGGATACGGATTTTGTTAAGCGTGATCAGAACCGTGAACCATTGTTTGGAATAGAGAAAAACATTTGGCACTTTACGACAGGTACAAATTTTGTCTTCAAATTAGAGAATATTGATCTAAAAGCTGAAAGTTAACGACATTTTTAAAATTCAGAACCAAAAGCATCAGACGTCGATGTACACACTGGTAATTATATTTTATTATATGAAATTTAATCTACATTGATTTCATTAATAGAACAATTTATAGATACTGCTAGCGGTTTACTACGTCTATCCGTCAATGGGACGAATGAATTCAAAGCAGCATATGACGCACAAGGATATTCAGTAATAAAAGCCTTAGCAAAGCAAATAGCTGAAACTATTCCAGTTGCAGTTCCACGAATATCAATAAGAAATGCTTTTCAATATGAACCAAATACGCAACCTCAGCAACTTTTATTACGTATGGATATTGGACAAGCGACAAACAATAATGAATCGGATATTCCACGTTTAATTGAAGACTTTCGAACCTTACTAAGACAATCACAATTCACCGCTCTTTCGCAAAAAAATTATACTGTATGGCTCGATAGCACGTATAATTTTGTGCCGACAGGTATCGATAAAATAAAATGAAATTTCGTTTAATTTGAATATGTTTAATCGTGTTTTAAATATTTTATTTTCCATTTTTTAATAGGTGATTTGTGGGACAGGTATAAGCTTGCGATCATCTTATTCAGTGTTATATCAGTTGTAACAACTCTTGTCTATTTGTGTGCTCATCATAACAATAAAGAAGTACAGTATATATATTTTCTTCTTTGTTTAAATGTTTCGTTACGTACTAATATGCCTTTGTATTAAACTAGGCAAGAAACATTGTCATTTTTATGGTCGTGATTATTATACAAGATTTTATATTTGACGTATTATTTGTGGAAGAATATGGTCATGATTTTTCAGAGTTGTTTCTACCAAGGTAATCTTTAACCATTCAAATCACATGAAAATATTTTTCTTATTGAATTGATAATAATAGATTTGTCTTTTATTTTAGTGTTATAACCTTGGTCATCCCAATCGCGTTCAATACTACTGTCGCGTTATTTGTATTATTATCGGAAAACTCGCGCGAAGATAAATTCAACGACTGGTTCCGAAAATATCCACAAATAGCGGCTATATTTACCATATTTTCATGTGCAGATGTGGAGTTACTTACGGTTCTTTCCTCACAAGTTGGCGGGTTGAATTTATTTTCTGCGACTTTTTCGCATCGAGCAGAAACGGTGATTTTCTGGGCGAGTTGTGTAAATATACTGATCGAAGATTTGCCTCAATTCATTATTCGCGTAAGTTTTTATTCTTTGATTTTTCATTAATTTCATCATAATTTACTATCCAGTTTAAACTTTCTTGGTTTTGCTAGTTTCTATATCGAAGGAAAAACATCACATACAATATCTTACCGAATATTGCCCTAGCTTCGAGTGCAGTTGGTTTGCTTATCGCTGTTCTTGGCCGACTATATCAAATAGCGATCCGTTGTAGCCCAAGAAAATGTCAAAAAGCAGTATTTCCGGTTGAAGAATCAGATATTAAAGAAAATCCTGGAATAAATGCAGATGGATATCATATTGTCAATGGATTACTTGAATAAAATTTATATTCTTTTCATGTATATAAACAATTGTATATTTCGTGTTTCTTAAAGATGGGATTTAACTTAAATAAATAGTTTACTTCGTCTCGATTTTATAAACATTAACGAATCATAATCGTTATACTTTAAGCCGCATAAAAATGAGTTAGGGTTATATATACATTATATCGATATCGATCGATATAACCCAAAATTTAACTTGTGAATAGGCCTATTCACGGATTAAATTCTGGATTTATGAAGTTTATTGAAATTATAAAATATAATCCATTGATGTTATACACCATACGTAATAAAAAAACCCATACGTAATTTCAATTAAATATAAAAAATGTGTTTCAATTTTAAAACTTTAGATTATACGTATTCATAAAAGATCCAATGTTTTATTCAAAATGCAATATTACAAGTATTAATGCTATGGCGTGGTGGCTCGTTATAAATCATCCTATAATTTGTTAGCGTATAAATGATGTATGGTTAATTTCTTTTTGTATTAAAAGTCATTGGTCCTCAAAGTTAGTCTTTTTGCATCTCATCTTTGATAATTTCACATTAAACTATGAATATGTGTATTAAAATTATATTGTGTGTGTAAATTATGACTAACGAGCGATTCAAATTTACAACTAATCTAATAAATCAAAGAAATATAAATTTAAAATTTATTTTAACAAAGAAATAAAATAAAGAACAGATAAAGATACCTGAATAATGGAATCTTTTAGCAGATAAATAATCCTTCACCACCATCAAACTACGTATAAGCAAGAGAATTCAGGTTCGCTATTTCGAGAATCATCTACATGTATCGGTATGTGTACATATTTGATTTCCCAATACGTACGCGGTACATGTACAATGATAAGTACGTACAGTAGCTATGGGACACTCCATATAAATTTTTATTTCCGTCAATATTAACTTTAAAGACAACCGATTATTTTTGTGATTTAAGATTAGTAAATTTCGGTCTACATGCCTTTTTTTTCTAAGACAGCAGCCTGATTAAAAATTTTCTATTCTACGTGATTTACCTGCATACCAATTTTCATAAAATTGGCTCAAGCTTTAAGATCCTGAAGATCCGAATGAAATCTGAATGTAGTAGAGTAATTAGTGGTCTAATTAGGTTTTTGTCTTAGAACAAAAAGTTTTGTAGGTCAAAATTTACTTATCGTTACTCAATTTCACAAAAATGTTGAAACAATCTGTTGTCAAAAATACTAGATGTTTCGAGGTTTAAAATGAATTATTTTGGTTGGATTACTATCGACGGAGATAAAAATTCTATTGAATGTTCCATTTATCGAGTATCTCATTTCTTGAGGGAGCTACTGTAAATATGTAAATAAATATTAGAAAAGTATTTTCGTGATAGCAAGAAATCAGATGTGTTATCGTATAGTTGGCATATACGAAGACGAGAGATAAAATAATCAAAATACTTAAGGTAAAATTTAATTTTCTTTTGATAGAAAGATATAAGGAGAGATTAAAAATCTTTAGAGAAAGGCTCTGAGTGAGTAAAGCTTTATAAATAAATTTTCTAGAAAAAGACAATAAAAATTTTTATTGTTGATATTGGACGAGTTATGTGTTACTTAATTAATAAAATGAATCTAATTTTACTGATAATAATTCTCGATCTTAACAATAGAACGACTACATAATGCGTTTCTATCGCCTACATGTAAACATAAACCTCGAATTCAGAGGATATTCCTAAAATCCAAAACCAATTTCAATTCTTGGGTACTGCTATGCCTAAATAGCACAAGCTCCAAATAATATTTTCCAAGTTTCTCAATAGGGGAACTTCATCAATTTATTAGGATGTACAGCTTAAAAATTTGTATCAACAAACTTGTTTCTTTATTTTAGCATTCACATTCAATAAAATACTCCTAAAATTTTAGTAGGTAATAACTTTACAACAATATCATCAATAGACTTGTTTCTTTCTTGATTTTAGCAATCAACAAAATCTACATGTATTATAAATATAATTTATCAATCTGCACAAATATTTGAAGTAAAGATATACCCGCAAAAATAACTACAACCACTTTGACAAAATAATAACTATTGCAACAAAGACTATTAGACTCTAATAAAAATACTATATCAAGTGCAAATAATTTTTATTGATTCAAGTATAATAATAACTTTATTTTCTCTCTTATTTTGCTTAAGAAGAAAGCCTTTATATGGTGGATATTAATAGTATCAGTAGATTATATATAAACCATTTTTTTGAAAACAAATATCTTAATTAGAAAAATGTAGTAAAAAGGAGGAAAATTTTTTTGGCTTAATCGATATAAAATAAACTCGAGAACATTTTTTACTTAGCTTAGAAAAATTATTACCCTAATAAAATTTCGCGTACTATTGAAGTATTATACGAATTGACCTTGTCCGGCCGTGCGGTGCATAAAGGTATTTTTATCCCGACACGTATCGAAGTTTGACTGTAATTTTAGATAATTTCATTTGTCGTGTAAGAGCTAACATTAATATATTGTATTTTATGACTTCAATAAACTGTTTGATGGAGTAACGTACAGTGAAATGCAACAGTATCTAAGTTCCGAGAAAACTACTATCCTGTACTGTATTGGAAAAGGGTTAGCGTTAGTGTATGAGTTTGGAATAGCGATAGGTCAAGAATTTATCTAATACATGTGCGCAACATCTAAACTAATTAACTAATGTTGATTAGAATTTTTTTGGTTGGCCGAAGGCTGAAAAAATTGTATATTAATGTTAAGTATAATCTTGCCTGGAATTATAAAAGATCAACAAATCTATAACTATAAATGTACATCCTGTCATTCCTTTTTTTAATAACAATGTGCGACAATGAACATTACCAAAGCTCGAAATACATCTGTTGAAAATGATAAAAACCCTTCTTTGGAAGAAAATAACTCTAATGTTGCGGACACAACTAAAAAGTATCAGATATAAGGTATTGAGAGCACCGCTTTTTCCAAGTATTATTAAATATTGAAGTCATTAAATTTGATTTTTAGGGGATTATTTGTCCTACTACTCGCCTGACGACGATTATAGTGACTCTGATGAGTCTAAGGCGTTAACAATCAAGCACAGAATCCGTACTGTATCTGATCGATTCTGATTCAATAACTTGTTTTGGAAAACTATCAGGCTAATTGTTCGCGTTTCAAGAGAATGTACGAAGACACCCACGAATTTCCCGACCCCAAGTACATGTTCAACCTCAAGGCGAAAGGGCTCACTACTCCCAAAAAATTCGTTGTATGTGGAATGAGAACCATCCAGATTTTCAAATCACAGTTGGTTCAATCGAGGAATGGACCTATCGCGAAGATGAAGATCCTTCCCGCTATAATTGCCATTGGGGAGAGTATGGAGATTAGAGTATAGCGTAACAGTGCCAGAATTTGTTTAATTAAGCAATTTAAGTGAGTAAAAATGACATTAAAGTATTACTTGATTAGACCATAAGCCATATGAATATAAAGTACTTTTCCTTGTTAAATATATAGGCTTTATGAGTATAGGATTTCAAACTGATGACTAGCAATTAAAATTAACGTAAACTTCAATATAAAAGTCACATGATTTTCGCGTTTGAATTTCATAGAATGTCGATTTTACAAAAAAATTTATTGCTTGTTTATCAGAATTTACTGGTGTATTGGTTGAAATTCCGATCGAGTTGATTTTCATCAAGCGTAATGTCCAACGGTCGGCCATGTCGATAGCCAAGACGGTGAGTAAAATCAGTCATACCTTTCGCTTCTCTCCCAAGAAAGTCGACATATGCTTGTTTTTCGGATGGTACTCTTTCATCTTCGTGGCCCGTTTCAATTCTTTCTCCATAACTTCAATATTACAACCATATGCCTCAATTTTCTTGCACAATTGACCGTAGTAGTATCCACTTATTTTTATCTCGCAGGTTCCTATAATAGAAATTTAATGGATAAATGACGTGAATTTTTAAAGAATCGTTCGTTTAGGAAATAGAATATCCAGTAACATTGATACTGTACTTCCTCTAAAATCTCGTGTCTGAAAAATTCCTTGTATGAAAACCCAGATGCGCCACACACTATATCCCAATATGTTCCAAATACTTCCAATTAACATTAAAGATGTCACAAATATCCAAAACAAATGCACCAGATCACCAAAAGGACCAAGGCAATAGAGAAAGATACAATCCAAAGGACCAAGGTAATAGGGAAAGTCACGATAATCGAACACGTGGCCAAAGTCACAATAATCCAGACATAAAATTCCACATAGCTTTTGTTTTTTATCAAGAAAATTCACGAAAACAAATGTAATTAATTAAAATGTTGGTTTCACGGTTGATTAAAACTAACTGATTATCAACTGAAAAATTATTAAGTCTCTCAATTTTTGGTAGCCTTACACTGATCCAAGCGCAGAGATAATTTGGTAAATTCATCAAATAGTACATTTTGTATTTCTTCGGGAAGAGGGAGGCGACTAATAAAGTCCCATTTCATACTTTCCCTAATTGAAATCATATAATTCCTAGTTCTTTGAGTTTTTCTAGAATTACTACATATGGGTCTTCATAATACCATATTTCGATAAGAACAATCCAATTCTCTTCACATAATTCTTTCTTGAGTTGATCCCGTGCTTGCTGTTTGATAGAATTATTTGGATCTCCTCTATGAAAGAATTCGATATATTTTTCGTGTTGCTCTCCTTGCACTTCGATTGCAAAGCCATATTCTGGATAATAAATATCAAGCTCCAATCCGCAATAATACTCGCATGTTTTCAAAAAATCAGGTCTACGAATATTAGATGGTGGCGAACCCAATAAATCTGTTACTATTTTTCGACAAAGTTCCTCTCTCTTCCAAGGACAAAAAGGACACCAAGTATTGTTATTCTTAACATTTTGGAATGATGCATTCCATTCATGACCTTTAGCACATTTCCATTGCAAATAGGATGAACCATTAATATATTTATTAGAAATACACTCTCCACCTCTATCAAAAGCTATCTTTTTAATATTATCTAAAGAAAGCCGGATATTTCCAGCACAATAAGGACACCAAGTTTTACAATTCTTTATACTACTAAGAGTAGCAATACACAAGTGGCCTTCTGAATATTTCCATTGCAAAGGTGAATCGGTATTAATATATTTAGTTGAGACACTCTCCACTCCTGCTATATGCAAGCATTTTAACTATTTCAAGATTAAGTTTACGTTTATCTATATTATAGATCGGACACCAAGTTTTTTGATATTTAATGTTTGATAATGTTTGCTTCCAGCGATGTCCATTTTTGCATTCCCATTCTAAGAGACTTTTGTTATTCACATATGTAGTTGAAAGACATTTCCCTTCTCTACTTCGAGCTATCTCTTGATCTATTGAGATATCCAATTTAGTTTTCTTACAAGTCGAACACCATGATCTATAATGATGGTTGGAGATGCTTCCCATATATGAAAATTTTCACAAATCCATTTCAACTTCGTATGCATACTATAAAATTTATCCGAAAGACAATCACCATTTTGATTTGGCATAAATGTGCATATTATCAATAGTTTTGTTATATTCTCGACAAGTAGAACACCAACTGTTTTTATTTCTGACACTATTTAAAAATTCGTTCCATTGATGTCTCTTAGAACATTTCCACAACAATGAAAATTTACTATTTTTGTATTCTGTGAAGAGATATATATCACCACGTTCTTTAGCAATCTGTTGTATATCTTTTAAAGTCAATCTTTCTAGTATTTTTGCATGTTTCTTAAGATCTGTTAGTATCTTAAATGCTATTTGTATCAGAGTTTCTTTACAAGAGCTGGTCTTTGAAAAGAAGTATATATCATTTATATTATTTATATGCATCATTTGATAATAGCAAGCTAGTAGATTATAAAATTCATAAAAATCATATCATCATCTGTCTAGATTATATGAAGCTTATCTATATTAATAATATAAAGCTGAAAAAGAAATTTGTTCATGCTAAAGATAGATATATCAAAATTATTCAGCCAAAAAATATAATTGGAATCTAGATTATAATAAATTTAAATTTCAAAATAGATATGCTCGAATTATACAAATTGCTTATTGAGATTATAAGCAAAAATTTGAATCAGAATCTAATAGAACTTGAAAAACAGTTAGAAATGATAATACTTTAAATAATAAAAAGTTTCTAGATATGACTTCTCAAAAAATAAGAGTTCTTATATTGGTTATAATAAGAGGATAATTTTAGCTAAAGATATTATTACAATAGTAATATAAAAATTGCAAATTCAAAAATAATCAAAAAATATGAAAATTCCAAAAATATTCATATAACAATAAAATTCTCTAGTATTATTTCACTTTTATTATTTCACTTTTTCAATTTTCACTTTTTATTTTCACTTTTATATATATTATTTCACTTTTATTATTTCACTTTTTTGATTTATTTTTCACTTTTATATATATTATTTTACTTTTTATTATTTTACTTTTTATTTTTCACTTTTTATTTTTCACTTTTTGAAATTTTACTTTTCACTTTTATATAAGTTATTTCACTTTTATAATTAATTATTTCACTTTTATATATTTTTTTATAATATTTCACTTTTTGTAATTTTGAAAAATGTATAAATAGAAGTGCTATCTGAGTCTTAACTTGACATATTGTAACTGAAAATAAAAATCTCTCTTAACAAAAATCTTTCTCCAAATATTTCCTGTCTCTCATATTTTCTTTATATACTTCAAATCTTGTGTATAAGTAGTTTTATATCATATTGAACTTATCAAATCACTGATAGCTTTATATTGTATTACGCTGAGCAAATCGCTGTTATTGACTTTAAGTTTTATATCATATTGTGTTGAACAAATCACTATTATTGGATTATTGAGCTTTATATCATATTGTGCTAAACAAATTACTATATTGGAATTATTTATAAGTATTTTTACTTTTTGTTATTTTGAATTTTTAATTGTTAACAAATATTTCTTACTCATGAGAAGAACAAAGTGAAAGAGTCTTTGTTATTGTTATTATTAATTTAGTTCTAAAAAGCTTTATGCAAGTATAGAATCACTCTTTAGAATTCTCTTTATTATTTCTTTGTTCTCTTTCCTCTTTGACCTTTATTCTTCCACAACTCTCTCACATTATTATTTCTTTTTAAGTAAACACAATTTCTGTAAAAATTGATATAGGTCTTAGATACTGTTACCATAGTAACATAAATTTCTCTAATTCGATAATCTTTCATTGATTATGCGAAATTCCCTTTTTCTTAATTTTTATAATTT